AACCTTTTCTTAACATATTCAAAATAATAATAATAAATAATATAAACTAACATAGGTTGTTTACATCATTTTAACTGTCATCCTATTCATTGATCTAAAAACAAGAAATTAATTGATATCATATTATTAAGAGATAAAGTTTAAATCTAATTTTGGTAAACTTTTAAATCCATTCTATTTTTGTCAAAATTACGAAAAAAAATATAACTATTTCGGTGCCTGAACTTTCAAAATATTTATTTTAGTCCCCAAATTTCAAAAGATAACCAACCATTCTAGTCCTTACTATGATATTTTGGCACTTAATACTTTTATAAATTACAAGGATTAAATACACATCTTGAAAGCTACCCAAATGAAATGAGTCTAAAATTTCAAAGAGACCAAAATAAAATAATCTTGGATCTAAACCGAAGAGATATGATATATATGAAATGTGGCTTTAAAGCAGTGCAACTTCTCAGTCATAGCAATCGGTAGCAGTAGCTTCAGATCTTTAACATTAACTAAAAAGGCGAAAGACAATTCCAGTGAAGAACTAAATACTTGTTCAAATATCCACAAGATTAAGTGGAGTGTTCATCAATTTGAGATTCCTGTTATTTATATAACACAGAATGTTATATGCTTTTCCACTACAAGAAAAGGAGAGTTCGAGGAGCAAAAAAAAAAAGGATGGACCAGCAAACATAGACTACGCTTCCTATGCTTATGGCATTTCAATGGCAATCCAGCATTCAAAACTCACGGTTTCTTCAATAGCTCCTTAACGTAATTAGTGACTTCATCCACTTTAACAGTCCACGCAACAGAAACGGGGGAATATCCTGACCATGGATTGCTCGAATTCCATCTGCAAAAGAATACATAGACAAAGATGGGGGTGTCAGAAAACTACAGAAAAGATTGAAAAAGTTGTGTAGCTGAGGGCATACTTCTTTAGCCCTTGATCCATCAATGTATGGCCAACACAGATGCCCCGAGTTTCAACTCTCACAACACCAGTCTTGTACGTAAAAAGGTCGGGGCGGACTAAAGCAACGAACGAAACAGGATCATGAAGGAAAATGCCTGAGCACAAAATTTGGAATGATCATTCAGACTTGACATAATTTAGAATGGTGTTTAGATTTAGTATTTCGTGGTAAAGGAAAAATCATGACTACTAATTACCATAAACCCCGTCAGACTTGACATGCCAATCTCGGTAGAATTTGCATATATCATATATGAATTGAGCATGTTTTCCTTTGGATTCCTTTATTTCAAGGAGGTCGTCATCTGCAATAATAGAATGACCGACACATCACATTGATGTTGCTGGTGACATGACATGGCACCCACCAAATTTCTCGGTATACATTTGAACTTTATTTTTTCTTAAGGCGTGTGCGGGATATGGTAGAGAGAGAACGTTGGCAGGTGTCACTGAAAGTTTCTCATATCATTTGACAGAAACAAACAAGTGAAGCTTGATAAAGAAAACTTCACCTGTAAGTTTAACTTGTGTTGTGATATTTATCCCAATGATAACAATGTTTGCTCCAGATGTGAATACGACATCTGCTGCTTCCGGGTCTCCATAAATCTGCAAGAGATTTCACAATGCACATGATGTTGCCATTCTGGTCCGACTAATGAAATATTAACTGGTAAACTTTGAAGATGTATTTAGTCTATTGTCAAAATCACTTCCCTTTCCATTTATCATATTTGGCAAATTAAAAAATTGATTTTAGAAAAGTTCAAAATCACTTTGAATGGATTTCTAAGTGATTAAGGTATCGCTTAGATGGTGATTTTGAAAAATCAAAACTCTTTTTTTAAAATTACTCATTCTACCATCACTCCCAACCATAACATTGAATGTTATATGCATAATTGATTATTTTCACCACTTTCACCCAACCGGTTCTAAAACTATTAGAAACTTCACCCCCTAAAACTAACAGCTTTGACCCGCCATGATTGCCCAAGTTCTTATTATAAGAAATAAATATTGAAAGGAAAGCAGCCGCTCACATTTGCTTCAGCAGCAGGATTTACATTCCCTAACGCAAAGAAAGCACCACCAAGTATGACAATCCTTTTCACCTTGCTAGCAAAGGTAGAGTCGCTTTTGATTGCCTGATTGTAAAAACAGATGAAATATTACACTTTTCACCCGAGGGAGAAATTTAAAAGAACGGAATTAATCATAGAAACTTACGAGAGCCAAATTTGTGAGGGGCCCAAGTGCAAGTATAGACACTTCACCGGGATACTGAGAGACCTTCTCAATTAAAAACTCAGAAGCACACTTTCCAATCTTCTTCGTTTTGGGGGGTGGCAGAAATACATTTCCAAGTCCATCAGAACCATGTACAAAGTCAGCAACACGCGGTGTTCCACCCTTTTCCGCCAGAAAAAGGATTGTTAGCAAATCAAACACAGTCCCAGAAAGAGTCCACCCTCCACACAAGTACCAAAAAGTTAAGCTAGAGATAAGAAATCAGAAATTTTACTTTCAGGGGTTCAGAGCTGCCTTGAGCCACAGGAATATCCGAACGGCCTGCTATCTCACACTATCTTTTTGAACATCAAAAACATAAATAGATCATGAATACATTCCAAAAGAGGGAAGGTCCAGTGAATATGAACAGAACAAGGAACATTTAATTGCGAAAGAAGACCATCAGCTAAAACAATTGCATACCAGAAGCAAGGCATTACGCGTGGCATCTTCAATTAAGACATTGCCAAAAACTGTTGTTAATCCCAAGACATCCAACGCCGGGCTTTGAAATGCCATGAAGATGGCCATGGCATCATCTGTCAATCAAAGATAATTCTAGATTTTAAGCATCTAAACCAGTTACGTGCACATATAGAGATAGACAGAACAAATCCAGAGAGAATTATAATCAAATCCGCACAGAAGAAACCACAGCCTCCTTTTCAGATATGTACTTACACATACAGTGACAGAACTTTTGATTTCAGGTGTTCGATTCATATACAGTTAAGAGCCTCAGTGGAAAAAACAAATATTTAAACAAAAAGGAACAGAAAGAAACCAGCATGTGCCAAAAAGATAAAAGACAAAAGGAAAAATCCCTCAAGAAAATTTCTGCCAGCAAAAACAGAACCATGGGGCTGTGAAAAGCTTAAAAATGAAGAAACTCACCGATTCCAGGGTCGGTGTCGATAATGAGCTTCTCCCGGACGACTCCACCATTAACATCCGCCATATCCAATACCCAAATTCAAAGGTAAAACAAGGGAAATTCCGCAGACAACGAAAGGAGCTGTAAAAGAGATCAAATATGTATGTGCGCGTGACTATAAAAAAACCACAATCACACGCATACAAATGGAGATAATGGAGCGAATATAAAATGGGATTTTAGGGCTTAATTTGAAACAAAAAAGAGAATCGCCAGGACTGTGAAGAAGACGATGGGTGAACGTGAATGTGAGCAGGCTCCGATCGAGAATATATAATAGAGAATGGTGGCTTCGGTGGACGATGACGACGAAAAGAGAGAGATCTCCACGTGGTCTACAATGGCGAAGATCCGAGTCAGGATTCCATTTCTCTGTAATTGGAAACGGATTTTGGATCGGAAATTGCTATGAAAACTGAAAAGGGAACCCAAAAGCTACTTTATCTGCTTCTGTTCGTCCCCTTTTCGAAGATCTCTCTCTTTTTCTCTGAGTTTCCTTTTTGTTGAAATCGAAGCCTAATGTCGCAATTAATCTTTTCACTTTCTCGGATAAATATAAATTCTAAATTCCCATCGAGTAAAAAAAAAAGAAAGAAAAGCCTTTTTCAACAAATGGAAATAAAAGACCTTTTCAACAAAAAGAAAAATCAGATTTTTTTAGATATGAACTCTCTCAAACAACCTCCACTCTAATCGAATCGCACATATTGATGAATTTTTAGAAAATAATTTTTATTTTTATTGTTATAAAAAAAAAGTTTGGTACGATGAGTCAGATTTTATAATAGACAATGTTATGCTATTATTAATGTAACTACGTTAGAGTTAGACAGACGATATTGTAAAATAACATAATTAAAGACTTATAAGATATTATTAATAGGTAAAATCATATTTTACATAATATAAATTATTACGTCAACCCGTGAGTAGTTAAGTACTTTATCTCTCATTAATTATCAGGGAAGAGAGAGTTATTTTGGAAAAAATATAATAAAGCTATTAATAATTAAGAGGAAAATGGTTGTTGGGCCACCCAATATTGTTTTATGCAAAATAATTGAATTAATGAAAATTATATTATTATGGCCAAAAGAAGCTACTTCCAAACATTCAAGAGCACCTTTCTTTAATGAAATTAATAATTTATTAAAACTAATGAATTGTTTGTTTGTTTGTTAAAATAATACAATTCACATACATGATCAAACTAGTTTTCAACTTAATGACTTCCAATTGAATATTTTTTAGGATAAGCGTCAATTTAATTTAAATAATAATTGAAGAGATTAAGTAAATAGTGCTTAAGCATTTAAAAATGTGATTTACAGCATAAAATTTAAAGATTGCTTAAAATGGGTCAAAATTAAAAACTATATATATATATATATATATAATTTTCAAAGTCCAAAGTCATTTAATTAATATCGAAGAACAAGGAAGTTTATGAACCACCTAAAGTTTGGTCAAATTTTAAACGATCTATAAAACTATTTAATTTTGGCTCATCCATACTTTTCAAATTCTATAATCAAGGAATTATTCTTCTTAGAAAATTAAGAAAATATAACAAACAATGTAATAGTACAGTTCTTACCAACCTTGCAAAGATACATCTACATATTTATATAGATGGTAACATTAGTAAATCATATATTTTTGTTAACTAAAAATTTAATATGACACATAAGAAAATTAATATAACCCGTAAAGTTTAAGTTAAAAGATAAATATGTTAAGATGGTTCGCAAAATTTTAATGTATAAAATTATGCTAATGAATTTGGTTGTCTGTTGGTCTAGCCATAATCATATCCTAGGCCATTTTAATATAATAATTTTTCGATATAAAATTATGCTAATTACTTTAGAAAATATTACAAAAATGTTGTATGAAATATAATTAAATTTTTATTGAATGAAAAATGATTTGTATTTTGTTTATCAAATGAGATGGTGAAGATAAATTAACAAGGAAAGTGACAAAAATGTCTGCGACGATGGATTTGAATTTGAAGAGGAATATTCTCCTTGGGGAGTTACATTTCCAAATAAACTAATGGCTGGAAGCCAGGACTGGATAAGAATAACTATGTGTACTAAAACTAAAACAAAAACAAAGAAAAAGTAGGCATATATTTTTTAAAAATAATAATTATTTATGACTCTTGTTTTCTCGGGTATGACAAGCTCGTAACTTCATTGAGTTAAGCTCATGTTAAAAGGGGACATGCCTATGCCTTTGAAACTACTTTTGTTTGCAGCTTAGTCTTCTCCCTCTCTCTCTCTTCTTTATTTTCTATTACTTTAATTTCCTTTTAATTAACCAAAGTCAATGTGAAAATATTATTCAAAAGTTACGTCGTGGAGCACGCCAAATTTTTGTAGCAATCTAATCCAGTAGAGCGGACCCCATGATAGCAATATAATCAATGTTGATAAAGTTTAACGAATAGGATCACACATACAATTTAATTAAGTATAAACCAATCAAAGCATAGCTCAATAGATAAGACATCAAAATTGTTTGATCTCCCACACTGCAATTATGAAACTCAAAAAAAAATAGAAAAAGGAATTATCATGCAACGAAAAATATGTACAAATATTTAAAATTACTCGTTCCATGAGACAACTATCTAGAAATGAAATTAAATAAGAAAATGATTAAGAATAAAAGAATGTGTTCTGGTTTCAACATGATTCAGAAATTTCATGTTATTGTTGGCTTAAAGCTAATAGTTGCATATGATTGATGGTTTTCAATCACTACAGAAGGAAGAACATGTGATAACTTTTGCTTCTAATCATCATCTGCTACACGTGAAAACACATGGGGTTTTCTTCACCCATCAGAGAGAGGAGAGATTGAATCTGTAATGAAACAACATGCATATTTTCATAGATCTAGTTCACATGCCACACAAAAGTGGTTTGCCTTTGCTTTCTTTGTTGTTCTAGATCATCAAAATGTTGGGTTTCGGGCCACAGCAAAAGACATTAGGAGTCGGACATTATTTTCTTAAAAAATGGTGCATGTGTGTGTGGAATGTGGGATAGGGCAATAACAGCACCAGCAAGAAAAATGAAAGCCCACAACATTTTTTCAAGAAGCAAATTCCGCCCATGAACAATATAGCATGAGCATCTTTCCAAAGACTATCATGTGCTACAGGATCTAGTTCAGATCAGAGATTTAAACCAAAAAAGGATGGAAGACTGATCATATACATTCCACCAAGTTCACAAAATCACCTCTCTCTCTTAATCAAGAAGTCCTAAAAGAAAAATTACAGCTCCCTTTGTTTCAGCATGTCTATACAAGCCACCACACTCGGGAGAGTCGTGATGATCCACAAACACCTTTACAAGTCACGCTAAGTCCCTACATGATATCTCGAAATGTACGATTTGATTGAAGGTACCTGGTGAAGTTAGCTTTGTCTCCATAACATTTGGTGGTTCAATTGGTAAGCCAGGGCATTGACTACTGCTGAGCGGTACAGTTGTGAAGCAAGGCAGAATTTCAGCTCATTCTGTTGCACACTGCCATTAACTTTGCCTTTTTCAAATATGGTAGGAACTTCGCCTGCATGCATGAGAGCCAGATATCAATCTTCAAAAATCTAGCTGGAGAAAATTAACATGATGTGCATATTACTGTACCACTAAAAGGATAAAGTAATTCAACTTTTTTTAGTCACTATTTGTTTCTCCCGAAGGTAACAGATAACCTTAGTATTAAGGATCAGAGAATAGACAAAACGGTTTCAAAATGAATCACCAACATTCACCCTTTTGAAATATTAAGGATTAAACATATTGTATTGAACAAGCCTTTAATCCCTCTACTTCTATAGGCGTGTAATGACGATTACTGCACAATCTTCAACATTTCATTGTCAGAAAATCATGATACTCAACCTGTATGTGAATATAAGTTGCAAGTCTCAATACTTGCCGCTACGTTTATATGCTATACAATAATTTACTCACCTTTTTTAAAAAACTAGTTTTTTTTTACTCCAATACCATCGTAAAATGCCCCAGCCAAACTCACGTATCTAGAGCTTCTGGTGAGCCTGCTAAACTGCAGGTGTTTTTGCCAGATTGCTTTTGGTATTTCCAGTGGCCTGTCCAGCAGAACTCCTGGTATTTGCCATCTCACTTGCCACGATAGACTTTTTTACCTGCCACGGGAAAACAGAAAGAATTGGATTTGATATTAAATGAACTGTGACATTTTTATTGGTCCTCCATCATAAAAAGCTCCATAAATCATAGAGGGGGCCACTCACTGCTGCAAGACGCTCTCTGTGGGTATCATTTATAAGCTGCAACATTTTACATATAAATTTTATGAGGAGAAAAAAAATCAAATTATTTAAGGCTTGACAAGCAACAAGCGTAACAAAAAGAATAATCTTTTAAGAAGAAACGTATTATGCGCAACTGCCACTACAGATAATAGCCACTAATTATTATATATGTACCGGTTTTTTGAATATTTTGATCTCGTCACTACCAAACCCAGGAAGTGTTATATTCCAATTTTTTTCTGCATAGAAGTAGAGGAGAGAGTCAATAACGAGCAAACAATTATACAAAAGGTCCAAGTGTTAAACAAGGCTGCTGCAAATAACTAACCAAGATGTAGAAGGATGTCTTTTGCTTCTAATGTAGTCGATCTTCGATGCTTTGCTAATGAGCAACCAAATGTTGTAATCTGCATAAACAACAAAAAAATGTATTAATTAATTACAAACTTAGTGAGAAGTATTGCAAAATATACTATACCATTATCTCAGGGCGAGGTGAAGCAATTACATTGTTGGGGAATTACATTAAAAGTATAGAGAAAAAAATATGAAGTAATAATATAGAAAAACTGAGACACAACTTTGGCCAATGCTAACTACTCATTTAAAAACGCACTTAGAAAGATTTAACTATCTAAACTAAAGACTTCACCAATTTATCTAAAGAATTTTAACTCTAACCAGTACATTATCAATATTTATGCACTTGTCTACATAAATTTTCTTATTTCTCCCCAACTAAATGGTTCAACATAAAGCCCAAATAGTACAATTCCAAGTATTTTCTATTTTTCAGACTTACCCTCAAAGACATCCCAACAGAGAAGAGAATTCATACGTCTTTTAAAAATCTTAATGTACATCAAACTAATAAGAGGCTTGCACCATAGCTTACAAGTCATCTCCAAGTACAGTTACATTACATCGTCCTCATACACTAATAAGGTTGTACTCTGCTAGGAATATATTTAAGATGCATATTAATCTTCAGTTGGAGAGTTCGTTAGGATGGATGTGGTAATAAATAGAGAATAGGCAATACTGAGTAAGGGATTTTGGGACAGAACTAAGCCCCTCTAGAATACAAAATAGCAAATATCAAGAACTAGTCCTCATAATATTTAAAAAACCTATATTTTTTTCCCTCGTCTGATAAAAAAAATAGCATATTTGCATTATTTTCCTCTCAGATTCTAGTTCCTATCACATTGGCATACAAACAAGTTCATCTGTGGAATTTTGGTACAAGATAGTGGCCATCTTTTTACCTTGGCTCACCTTATCTCTCAGTGACAACCCCCAAAAAGCCACCTTTGGGGATTTGATAGTTGATTTTTTTTTTTTTTTTTTGCAATCATCAAAGGTGGATAAGAGAACTCTAACTGTGCCATCCTCTAAAACCTCCCAACCTATTTACATGTCCCTTTTCAAAATACAAAAATCAATAGAGAACATCTTTGAAACAATTCTAGGAAATATCTTTTAGGAAAAGCCTCAAATCAAGGGGGCTCCCATCTTGTTCCTTGGCTTTATCGCAACATTTCTCTCCTCACTAAATAGCTTTGGAGACTCCTTTTGGAGAAAAATTCCCTTTGGTGCAAAATCATGAATGGCGTTGCTCAAAATGGTTGAAAGATGCATATCATCATTTTATGTGTTGCAACACTTCTCTTTTTTTTTTATAACTAGGGTCGAAGCTTTACTCTCCTATACCCAGGGGCACCCGCTCCCGCCCAAGGCCCAGACTCAGGAGACATCAAGAGTTTTTTGCATTAAGTTCACCAGAAGGTTCAAACTTGAGACCTCTAAGTCAGTATGACCAAGAACCCCAAACCCTTGCCAACCGAGCTATCCCTGGAGGCGTGTTGCAACACTTATATGCTTAAAAGAGAGTTTCTTTCGATTACACTAATTCTATTATGAATATTAACATCTTACCTAACCTAAGCTTGAGTCTAGCTTGGTCTCTAACTACGGTAGCATCTACACCGAAGCATGTCTTGCATTTCAAAACCACTACTCTTACTCTAAAAAGGGATTGTTCATTGTCATTGAAATTCAAGGGATTTGAGTGGTACACAGCATCAAAGGGATTCAAAGATACATGGGCCCCCCTCTCTATATTCTCTCTATATTCTCTCCTCTTGCTACTGATGATAGGTACTAGATAAATAAATATGATAATATGCACTACACTACACGCAATATTCAATTTATCATGAGAAAATACTAGATAAACATGATTTAAATTTAAAACTTTTGTAATACTTCTCAATTTGACACTTCCAAAAATTTACATTATAAAATAATTCAAAAAAGATTAAACATCATAACAAATTCTTTAGCACAAAGTCCATAAAATTATATTGACGTCTATGATTCCTATACGCATCTCTTGGGATTGTCATGGACAACCGAACCCACAATCCAAAATCCCTAGGCATCTAATATCTAACCATTTCATTCTTAAGCATCATATACCTAGAATGAGACTTAAGTTGTATTCCAAAACATTAACGACAATTGTAGACATGATTTCCAACCATCTATTATTATTCCCCCTTTTATGAGAAAAGTCCATTTCTCATTCTCATTAGAAAAATAAGACCTTCAGGAGTAAAAAGTTCAAATTAAATCCACCGAAAAGATATGGGAAAAACAATATTGACTATTGAGAAATGACAAATTATTCTAATGAATATGAGTAACATTGAGTTAAACTACCGTCCTTTGTTAATTACTCTTGTGTTAACCTGGGTAAATACTCCACGCCCTCCTCAAATTACAATCTTAACATTCTTTTGACCAATCGGAAGGCATTTTTGTAATCCATTGGCTAGGGTACCCCCTTTTATTAATTCATTTATCAGTAAAATTCATGTTTCTCTTTAAGATAAATAAACTTCAATTACTCACCGACTCAACAAACTCTTCAGCTAGATCAACAAGTATATCTTCCACTTCAGGATCCAATCTCTCAGATGGATCGATCTGCAAAAAATGGACCATATTACAGAAAAAAGTTATAGGACTTGGGACCCAAACGGGCCAAACCAGAAATAAAGTCGATTAAAATCTGCATGAAATAAGTTAATAGCATATACAAATCCAGAACTGTTTGAATCTAATCCTATTCATTATACAATGTAATCCAAATTATTATAACCTACGACAACTTGACAAGGAAATAAAAGAGAGATCTCAAAAAAGGGCAATAAGCTAAAAGTTTTAGATCTGATAAAATTTTCAGTCAGCCAGCCCATGAGAACTATTCACAAAATTCTAAAACAAATGTTTCAACATATGCAAGGACTGTAGCATCTATGTATAACTTCAAGTACGAAATGTTGACTCTTCCTTATGTTCTCAAATCTCAACTATCGAAACCAACTAATGTAATATACATGTGTGTGTGTTTCCCCAATTCAACCAACTGTCAAGGTCATGACCTACAATACCAAAATGAATGCAGTAAGAAAACTACCTTTTTTTTATGAGAAGCAAACTAACTGTATGTTGATATATGAAAAGTACAAAAGGAGTTGGTAAAGGACCAATAATAGAATCAACCATAATGTGATAAAATAATAATCATCGCAATCAAGTCAAACCACTCAAATGATTCTAAATTTAACTTGCACAATCTTTTGATTTCAGAAGAAGAAAAGAATTTAAAGTTTAACGAGGCAAGCTAATGACTAACCTGATTAACCAGTTCACAAATACTTCTTTTGCTGAGAATTCTACTACAAGGTTCTTCAGTTTCTGCAGTTATAGCTCTGCTCTGGGACATTGTTTGTGTATTAGTATTATTAGTTTGTGGAGGTGCAAGAGGAGAAGCCTTCTGGTTAACTGGCCCCTGAGCTCTTGCAACCTGCTGCTGATGTGGTAAACCTTGTGAGCCCCTTGATGGTTGGAATTGTTGTGCAAAATTCTCCTGCTGCTGATGTGATTGTGAGGGTTGTTGCTGAGGAGTTGATGAAATCTGCTGTTGCTGAGAAGCTGGACCTAAGGGGTGGTTCTGTTGTTGAGGGATATGCGATCTTTGCTGTATGGAAGGTGAGTTTGCCTGTGGTCTATAAGAAGGTGATGGAAGAGGCGGTTTTCCTTGTGAAGTAGATGGCAGCCAAGGCTGGTTGGAGGGTTGTATATTCTGTGACGTACTAGGCAATGAAGAACTTGGCGAATTTGTTGAGGGCACTCTCAAAAGACCATGGCCTTGGAAACTCTAGAGTTTGGAAAAGTTATCAATATTTGGTAAAATTAGAGCAATGTTAATAAAATAAAATTTTCCATAGACACTTCACTTGGATGCAGGTAGCCAAACAAATTGCAAATGAATATAAAGGCTTAACAAACAGCACATGTAAAACAAATACCATCACAATGCACATTGACACAACATGACAACAACTTCTCCCAACTAAACTGGACGCAACATGATCTCTCACCCAACCAAATGATAAGCCCACTCTCTTCGACACCTTCCCACAGAAGATGAATAAACTTATTAGGGCTTGAGTTGTTTATAGCATGCGAAAGCAATTCCTGTCACATTTTTCTAATAAGAATATGTCCATGATTTTAAGGAATCAAGAAATGAGCATCAAAAGATTAGTGAATTGAGACAGTCCACAGCATCCAAAGTATATAAAGCTGGGGAACCAGATATGCATTTGATTGCACCTACACTTCAACAAACCAAACATCTAGATCCAAAAAGAATTTTATTTTATTTTTATAGAAAACATATATTTCATGGATATGATGAAATATACAAAACTGAGAGGGGACCTCATTCTAAAGCTAACTGAACTTACATAAAAACCTTCTAATTGGTCAAAAGATTGATTAAGTTAGAATTTGTTGAGGGATAAAAAAAACATTTAATCAGGACAAGCCTGAATAAGAACCAATTCATAAAATCTATCAAAGGGAAGAATTTGTTGCTGAATATCTGGATGTTCCTTTGAATCAATAAGAACCATAAGTAGTTACTAACTTGGGAAGCTGAGTTTGGGGTAGATGGCGGTCTCAGAGAAGATTGCACTGGTCTCTGCAGCATTTGAGAACTAGAACCACTTGATCCCAACATCCCCAGTCCCTGCATTCCTTGCATGGGAGGTCTCACCTACGCGTTCCAAACAACAGTCAGATGAAGAAGTCAAATAAAGTGGCAGACAGTTTTTCCAACCACCACAGAATACAAGTATGATGTAATCTACAAACTCAGCATACAAAAAGCTAGACAAATTTTATAATACGACATCTGAATAGCTCTTTCTTAAACGCCGATTACAGATGGTGAAAAGGAAAGGGGAGGAAAATTTGTCATAAGTTATGTATATCTACTTACATCCAGAATACAACATTTAGAATGTCAATATTCGTTGTTAAAAAGGGAGGAGGAAATTTTCCTTCTCTTGCTTTATTTTTATCCTTCTATAGCAGTAGTTTAAACCAACAAAATCCAACTGGGGGTTGCAGGAGTAAAAATAGAAAAACTAAAGCAACTAACTTTGGGTTTTGATTTGCAAGAATGTGCACATTTTAAAATATAACTACCTCTACAGCCACTATTGACATTGACTATTGAGTAGTCAATTATGCTTCATTCTATTACAATTTTAACCTTAATATCTGTAAAATTAATGGGATTTTACTAGCAGTTTACAACAAAACAAAATTGGCTACAATTATAATTCCTCAAGTTTACTTCTACGGTCATTAGATACGTAAAGAGCTCAAGAGAAAATACCTGAGAAGAAGTTGCATTAGAGGCCGGTTCGCTAATGCTGACGCCACCTCGGCCCAACCCACCAAAGTGCTGGCCATAAGATGCCGAAAAGGGAGCAGGCTGAGGGGCGGAACTCGGCTGGTGAGCTGGAACCCCAATGGCGATGCCGCCCCTTTGGGCTGGAGATGAAGCAGAAACAGGGCGGGACGAAGGAGACACCATAGTTGAGTGCGGCCCAGATGACGCAGAAGGCGAAGGAGAAGGAAAATGAGAGAAATGCGAGGGCGGCTGCCATGCTCCAGTCAATGCGGAGGAAGGCCTAGTGATTTGCTGAGAGGTGGGAAGAGATTGTTGCTGCGGTGAAGGCTGGTTGGGCAGAGGAGTTGAGGTCTTGGAATTGGGGTTCTGGTTCTGGTTCTGGTTCTGGTTCTGGTTCGGGAATGAATTGGGGTTAATGTTAGGGTTTGCATTTGGGGACGGTTGCGGCGGAGCAAGGGCGAAAGTTGTGGCGGAGGGCAGTGTTGAAGGCGGAGGTAGATGAGGCGAAGGAACTGCCGGAGGTTCAGACGGTGACTGAGACGAAGAATCCATGGAAGTGAAAATCGAAGGTAAAATTCTGCACCTGGCTACTGCCAAATCGTTGGTAACAGTTTATGCGGCTTTATAAGAAGGGCTTTAGGAGGGGAAAAAAAAGGGAAATTGACTCTTGGAAAATGCCCTCCACCTTTTACGGAAATACCCTTAAAATGGACGGATCTAGATTGAAATTACACTCAACTCATCATCCTGTCCGTTGGAATTTTCTTTTCTGTCCCTGTCCGTCGTCCGATTCTTTGTTTTCCATTTCGTTTAAATTTAATTTTTTAATGAAGTCTAAAAACAATTTTGGTGGTACTAAAAAAATATATATTTTTTATTTTACATATAATTTCAGTTTTAGTTTATTATGATCTCCCCATGTTCAAAATCATCTTATCATTGTAAAAATCACTTCAAGGTAATAATATTGGTCAAATACCACTTTTGACATTGTCAATTGTACGAATGAAAATAGCAATATCAAAATTTATCAGAATGTCTTTAATTTTTGTCTATAAAATTTTAAGATACAATGAAAAATCTTTAATACAAAATTATAGTTATGTAAGAAGTTTATTCAATGAAGAATTGTGTTGAAATAGTGATTAAAAAACGAGATAAAAAGAAAAATAGTGCATCTTAGTTAAGATATAGAAAAATTATATCTTTTTATCATTAACTTTAGTAATTTCATAGAGTTTATTTGATATTTGTGGAAGAATCGTTGGGATGCCTCTTTTTTTATTTTTGTAATTCATTTGTTTAAAATATCACCAATTCTTCATGTTCATAATTATATATTAGAAAGATATATAGGACAACCAAGAGATGCAAAGCATGTGTTAGCATTATGAACAACCCCTATACCTTGTACTTACGAGCTATTTTAATCAAATGTCACAAGCGCATCAAAGTTGAGCCAAATTGGATATAGAGTTGTGCATAGATCTAAAATCAATTATCCATCTTCCACTAAAACATTAGAGAAGTCCAACTAACATTGGTGTTTGTCGCATATCTTTAATAATCAAGTGAAATTAGGGGGTGGATGACAAGTGAAGAAGATAAAATAATTAATCGAAAATAAAGATATCCATTTAATCTCAGTCAATGAAGTTATGTGTCACAAAATACGAGCTTATAGGTTGGCAATTATGAAATTATGAATATATGTTGTCCTAGATATATCAGTGAATTTAGTTTGACTTTAACACAATTTAAGCAAAAGCATGCATTTTGGCATTTTAGTGGTATTTCTATTTAAGTGGAGACGACATAGCTTAAAATCCGTGTGATATAATTGTGATGTTCTCAAAAGAGCTAGCTATAGTTTGACATCTATAAGTAAAGAGGGATAGAAATCTCCGTACAAATCCAATTGTTTCATGACACCACACCATACAACAATTCTATCAGTAGAGTTTAATTTATGTTCGATATGTACAAAAGATTATTTGATAAACACACAATATTACCCAGTGAAATTAATGTACCTTAAGAAATTAGATGCTCCTAAAACAATCACTCGCAAATTAAATAACATTTATCTAATTGGACAACTCTAAAACTTAAATCGATCAACTATATAATATATAACTTCAACACGTGGTCGTAAAGGGCCTCTCAGAAAAGTAAGGAAGGAGGCATTCGAAAGGCGGATAGAGAAGATAATGTTACTAACATCATTTATTGGTTTCTGTCCTCTCTTTAGAAAGTCCAAAACTCTATCCGCCTATTTTTAAGGCAAAAGAGATATTTAAAGAAGGAAGGACAATATGGATTGAAACAATAGATGAGATATTTAAATTACTCAAGAAGAGCAGCACCCCATGTGCCTGCTGGCTCCACTGCTTTCCAATTTGCATCAAAGTAACGCATATACAAATTTAATAAATATTTTTATATATTTGTTTTCAAGTTGATGACATTGATTTTATTCTTGGATATATATATTTTGGCCACAAAAGATTCGACCAACCATATACATATAAAATGGGCAATTTAGTTTCGGTAACGCCCAATATAAAACCATATTATTATACTATCACTATTACTATATGCCTCTCATTCGCGCTGGCGCAGCCACGGACACATCCAACATTATCATTTGTTTCCTCAAACTTATCCCCTATTCACATATCAAATAATGCTCTCTCCTTTTTCTTTTCTCGGTTAATTAATATATCATTTGAGAATATTATTATTCAATGGCTAACAAGTTTATTTATGTTTAAATATTACGGTAATATGATTTAACTACTTAAATAAATCCAAGCACTAGAGGACGTGTCTAGATTTTTTATTTTAATTCAACCTAATTCATGAATGATGATTTATCCTATAATTTGACACAAATGAGTATACTACTTAGGTAAAATAATGTAACTTATTTTAATTTTGAACCAATTGTTTTACTCAGCCACATTTTATTTGATCTCTTTGTTTAGTTTTTTGTTGCATGCCAGGTCATCATTTATTAAGTGCAACATATCATATTGTCATTTAAATAAAAGTGGATCAAAAGGTTAGATGATTAAGGAAAATAAGAAAAAGGAAAATTGTAGGGGTTAAATTTGTAAGTTGAGAAAAATTTCTTTTAGCAAAACAAAGATATTCCGTGGTCTTTGTTTCGTCATCGTCGTGCTATATTGGGCTTGGCTGGACTTCCATTTTGGCTGCTTCCAGCCTGGCTTTCCCGATTTTTATTTTTTATTTTTCTTTTTTCAAGAAAATAATAAGTAAAAATAAGATATCTAATTATTTTGATTTTGTCCCATTTCGTTGTTTCTTCCTCTCTCTCTCTCTCTCTCTCTCTCTCTCTCTCACTGTCGCTCTCCGGTTTCATTTTCTCGCTCTTTATTATATCTCTGACTCTTTGGTAGATTCTTCGTTGTTAAGATTCTTCCTTTTTATCTCCAATCCGTTTCGAAGAAACCCTCAAACCCGTTCGTCCTTCAGGTACAGTTTCTTCGGAGTTTGCTGTTTATTTATTCTTTGATTTCTCTAGTTTTATTTTTCGAGTTTCCCCTGCCTTGGTATTGGTTTATGATGCTGTTTGTTGGATGAGAAAGTTGAGGATTTTTTTTTTATTCCTGAATCTGTTTATCTCTAGGTTGTAGAGAATCAAGATTCTTATGGTTTGATTGATACCTAGTTCTTGTTCTTTGATTCTCAGAATCTTCAACATGTGATTTATTTCTCTCTGTTCACAACCAAAGGATTAATCGATCTTATTAATCTACTTGATTTCTGTTGATTCTGATTATACGATCGAAATCACAGTCTGTGAAATTGACTTGATAACCGGTTTGGTTATCTTGATTCTGATTATAGGATCGAAACCTGGCGATTTCGATTCTCTGTTCTGGATTTCTAATTGTAGATTTACTTTTCCAGATCTGTTAGAACGCCGTCGGAAACTGCGGGATCCGTTCGCAGAGGTGGAGGTTCTTCGTTGTACATCCGAAACGCGAGGTCGTGAAGAAGAAAGACATGGCGGAGGAGCACAGATGCCAAGCACCTGAGGGCCACCGTTTCTGCGCCAATAATTGCGGCTTCTTCGGCAGCCCAGCCACCATGGATCTCTGCTCCAAATGTTACAGAGACTACCGCCTCAAAGAGCAAGAACAAGCTTCCACCAAATCAACGATTGAAGCCGCTCTCTCAGCCTCATCTCCTTCCCCCTCCTCTTCTCCAATCGATCCTCCCCCTGTCTCGCCTGTTATAGCCTTGACCTCGCCGGAAACAGCCACAGATCTGACGGTCCCGCCCGTCGCGGCGGCCGGATCTGAGGCGGCGAACCAGCCAAACCCTAACCCTAACCCGAACCCGACCCGGTGTTCGTCGTGCCGTAAGAAGGTGGGTTTGACGGGGTTCAGATGCAGATGCGGAACCACGTTCTGTGGGGTTCATAGGTACCCGGAGAAGCACGGCTGCACGTTCGATTTCAAGTCGATCGGAAGAGAGGAGATCGCCCGAGCGAACCCCGTCGTCAAAGCCGATAAACTGGAGAGGATTTGAGCGATTTCTCGGCCCTGTTCTAAGATCTGACGACTGAGAGCAACTCACGGTGGCCCATCATCTTCGCCGCCATCGAATCTCTCAGCCTTCCGATCGCCGTCCACCGTCGCACTCGATAACGATGCTCTCTCTCTCCCCTCTTTTATTTGATACCTCTCTCTCTCTATCTCGCTACAGTATAAAATAAGTGTGGAAGATGGGTTTTCTTGTAAAAAAAAAATTCCTATTTTTTCCCTTTCTCTTTTGATTTCAGAATTGAAAGTATGGTCTCTACTTCCATTGATGATGGTCATCTTCTTCTCTATAAACCCAATAAACTCAACTTCATAGGCCATTTTCATCACTGGAAACATTAAAAGATAAGACAAAGCTAAATTAGAGAGAGGCTGGTTTGTTGCTCTTTTTTCTAGGTATCATACATATTATGTGTATAGGAATGAAACTTGAATTTTGCTCATTGAGATGAGCTGTTTGAGCCTGATGTGTTTGCTTAATGTACCCTTTTGGCTAGTTTCTGAGTCTGCTTTTTGGATATTAGAGATAATTTTTCAGCCAAGAACTTGATAATATTTGCAAGTGGTCGGGGGGCTTTTGAAGAAAAATGGGCTGCTTCGGGATGAGATTTGAACCCACGAGTTTTCGATATTACATTTAAAAATGTTGGTGTGCTACTGGGCATGTGTGCAATGTATTTAACTCTGTTGGTTGATTGACAGCCACGCCTCTTTCCATATCAATTTTGGTTTTGGCATGGCTCGTATGGATTGGTCCAACACATCGCTTGTGAATGTGCCAGCCGACTACATTGTGGATGTTATTAGAAAATTTTAAAATTAGGTTCAGTGCATCAATGACATGGCATCGATTATGCCACATGTCACATTGTTGTGGTTTGACCTGTCATGTCATATGGCTTACATCGTCACCAACATGTATAATTTTAACACTCAAAATCTTGTTTTGTTGATTCCCCTTTGATTTGAACTCCACGGTTTTGGATTATTCATAATATTATTAGATTCATCTTTCTTGAGTTCAGCTTATAGGGATCTTTCTTGACGGGGAAAAGAGATGACCAAAAGGAAGTTATGAATTTGAAGTACTCTCCTCTTTTTTCCTTTGCAATAGAAAATGAAGAATTCTCTTTGCATTTGACTCTAATAAAATGCGATGAGTTGATCTTTTTTTTTTTTTTAATTTTTTGATCTACGTTTAATCATAACCTTACCTTTAATATTCATGGATGCTGCCGGGAAAATTTTCTTATCATCCATGTGTAAAGTGTGGGCCTATTATTTAAGAAGTCTGCAAATGAAAATAGAAAAAATAAAATAAAATTTTTGAAAACCAAATCTTATTAGTTTGAAGGATAGAATAAAGTGAGATAATAGTGAGAAAAAGAAGAGAAAAAAGTTTTAAATAACAAAAAAGTATATATATATATATAAATAATGATTTTTTTAGTACATATTATATATTAAACATGTATAATATGTACATTTTTTAAAAATTATTTGACCTATACTCTATACAACAACATTTAAATGGAGGTATGAGGATAAAAAAAAGAAGTTAAAATATTAGTTTGGTTCCTGTATTCATTTTAGTTCTTATACTTTTAAAATGTTTGTTTTGGTCCTTGTACTTATACTTTGAGAACATCTTCAAAGTAGAGGGACTAAAATGAAAAATATAGAGATCAAAATAAACATCTTCAAAGTAGAGGGACTAAAATGAAAAATATAGAGATCAAAATAAACATTTTCAAAGTATAAGAACTAAAATGAATCAAAACTAAATATAGAGATCAAAATCAAAAAAATTTTGGATGCTTTGGACGCAAAGTTATGCGTAAGCAACTATTATTGAATAACATTATCATCACTAATAGATGTTTTATCTCTGTTTTATAACCTTCCTTTTAATTTTTTACGTTTGATATATGACTTCAAGTAGAAAAAAATATTACATAAGTCTAACTCATCTGATTAAGGTACATATCTCCGATAAAAAAGTTGGGAATTCGAATATTCTCCTCCACGTATTACTAAAAAAACATCATAATATTTAATTAAAGTACAATATCTCTATTCGTATGAGATCTTTATGATGAAACAAAAAATAAAACTATGTAAATCTTTAACATAAAATGAATAATATCATGAGCAATCAGGTTTGGGAAAAAAATTGGTGAATATGTTGGGAAACACAACTTAAAAACACAAATATTAAAAAACCAACCCCACTACTAAGATTTAGGTCTAAAAGATGAATTAAACCTATCAAGTGTGCCCGTAATTAAACTCAATTTATGCAAACTAGTTCAAACTACTATTCCATACCGCTTTTGGTTTGTTTAGAAGCTTAGGCTAGTGTTTACATATGTCTATGCAACTCTAAAATCCTAAATAAATCAAGTTTCAACTTACGTTTAACGGGGCCAATTACTTGGTCAAAAGTTGTTATTCCCGTTTTGACAATCTAGGCATCCAATGTGGCTGAAGTATTATGAAGTTGGAATTTAAGAGTAACTTGGCTGGCTCATTCCTCTAGTAAACTAGAATTTCTGGTCCTACGATGTCTCTGACGTATTGTGATAATAAATCTTCACTTTTCCTTACAAAATAAGCACATTTACCCAAATTAACCTTCATTTACTTATAACTGAATTCCAAAGTCCCTAATAACAAATTATGCACATTTTCCCTAAATTATATGCATTAACATACATTTTCGTCCCAAATAATCGTCAACTAAGCATACAAACCTACCATTTTTAGCCTTTAATCAGGTCTTTATCACATATATGGAAGAGATTCATTGTCCTAATAAATTGCACCAAAACTATGCCATTATTCATCTTTTAACACAAGTGGATAAAATGGTTGAAACAGAATATTTGCACATTTTAATATATTAAAAATGAAGGTTTCTAACCCAATAAAGAAAAGAAAAAGTGGATAGTTAGTTAGTTTTTTGAAGTGTAAAGTTTAGGCAAAATATATAACAAGTAATATTGGATAATGGGGTTTGATTCTTGGGAGGGCAGAAAAGGCAATCCGTGGCCAACTTGGGCTGTCTTGTGGGCGGTCGAGTAACGTTTCAACTCTCTCATTGACTTTGGGGAGAGACAGTGACAAAAAATTGTGGACCAAATAAATTCTTCATTCAAATTAGTTATCCATATAATAAATGACAATATTTGTTTGAAAGCTTCCTAATTTCTCTCAACTTTTTAATGAGAAGTGAGAATAGCCTTTCGTGAACTCAATCAACTATCAAAAAAGTGTGAAAATGTTTTTGGCTTTTGGGGTCAAAACTATTTTATGTATACTCTTAAAATGACATTTTTTGCGGTCTAAGTGGAATGATTTGGACACGAAAGGATTTAGAGTTTCGATAAATGTCCATATAAGAAAGTAAGCTCCTTAAAAATTGACTTTTGTATTCAGAGTTATGATATTGATTAATGAATATGCTAGTAGGATAGTTTGGGTATTGATATAAGAAATCACTTTAATTTGGATTCATATCAACATAACAAACACATTGGATAATATTAGAGAATAATTTTCACATTTTTTTTCCACATCCGGTTTATGATAGCATGGACCTTATAAAAGGCTAGTCATATTCTAGGATGAATACACATGCAATCAAACAACACATACATATAATTTTTGTGTTATTTATTATATTTTTTTTAAATACAATATATGGGGATGAAGATTTGAACTCACGATCTTTTGATCGAAGATAGGTACCTTAAYCAGTTGAGCTGTGCTCAAATTAAAAATTCTTTCTATTAATCAAAATGCTAATTTGGTAGTTATAGAAATCCTGAAGACACATAAAATTACCAAAAATATACCTTTGAAGTTGTATCAACGTGTGATAGATACAACCAAATATGAAATTGATGATAGTTTGAAAATTTAAAATTTAAATTTAGGTGCATGTATTTTCCAACCTACCACCGTTAAAAAAATTGACAATTATTTATTATATTCTCTCTTTTTTTATACACTCGTCTAATTATCTCATTTCATTCTTTTAATCCAAAATTGCTAACTTAAGTCACGCACTTATGTCCAACTAGTAGGTTGTGAATTCGAATTTCCACGGTTGTATTTAAAAAAAAGGTTTTAACCAAAATTTAGTGTTGGACCAATAAGACAATAAATATCTAATTAGTTTTTAGTTGGAATATTAAAAAAAAAACTGAGATAACCAGTCCCGGGAGGTAAAAATTTCTAATCCTCCCGTACTGTACAAACCTAAATTAAGATAGTATAAAAGCTTTTTATACTATGGGAGGATTAGAAATTTTTCCGTCCCGCGAGTCACGTGTGGCAGCAGACTTGTCCGTACACGTAAAGGGGTGTCACGTCAGGACCATGGCCGACTGAAATCTGATAACCTCCGTTTTCTTATAAATTCCTTGGCCGTTTTTACGCATCATAATTTCAAATCTTCTCTTCTCTTCTCTTCTCGTGCTCTGTTTATTCTAAAATGGCGGATTCACAGAGCCTAACGCCGTCGTTTCCGGCGGCGATTATTATTGCCCTCGCCTTCGCCTCTCTGTTTTGTTCTGTTTCTTCTTACGACCGCCCGCCGCGGCGCCGGAATCTCTTCTTTTCTCGCCGGCAAGATCTCGATTCTGATTCTCCAGAACAGGTCAGTCTTTCCTACTCTCTTCTTCTTCTTCTTCTTCTTCTTTTAATTTGGATCTCATTTTTCTGTTTAGAAATCGAGAAAACTGTTTCTTATTAGAATTCCGGAGAGAAACCGTAAAACATGAAATTACCGGCCGCTAGGTTAAGACATCACCGTCCACTCTTCTCTTAAATTGAATTACTGCACAATTCCCGTGTCATTTCTTCAATAGAGTATAATTATATGATTTTGTTCTAACTCATTATGTTTTGTTTTTAATCAATGTACTTTCTGAAAAACGTTAAGAGATAAGTTTTTTCTCTTAATGGATGAATTAATTATTAAAATCATTCCTTATAAGATAGTTTACTCTGGATTTGAAACCAGCCTGTTTTTTGATGAATTATTAGGAAAGACCAGTTTAGATGTGGGGAAAAAATACCATGTATAGCAGGAAGGGCTTAAAAAGGGTTTTTAAGAACTTGCCTCGAACAGAGAGCATAGAAATGGTGGATTATTAATGAATGAATAAATGCAAAACTGTGCGTTGCAGAAATGTTTAAGGCTATGGGGCCACCCCACCGGCCATGGCGGATGGAAAAAAATTGGAGGATTTGGATTTTCATTTTTCACTTCGTGTTTTCTTTCTTACCCAACGCTTAAATTAGACTACCAACTAAACAACTCGCAGATTCGAAACGAGGAATTTTAATTTTTTATTTATAGAGATGGGGTCCTTTTTTTTTTTTTTTTTTAATTTTTAAAACCCATTATAGATTAAAAAGAGGAATATGTTTGGAATATTTGAATAAGAAGGGTAGAGGGGAATAAGGGAGGTATATCCTTTGGTTGTCGCTTATGAAATGTGAAAAAACTTTGTCACATGTCGTTGTATGTAGCTCGGTGGGCCTCTTTTATTCTACAAGGTCAAAGGAATTGTCGCGTTGTGGACTATATACCGGACCATATCTTATATTATATTCTTCGTAAAAAATATTTTACTGACTTGCGATTAAATACAATCTTATTATTTTTTTAAAAGTTCTTTAGTTTTGTAATTTTCTCACTCAATTGTCAAATATTTGAGATAAGTCCCCATTAGTCAAGACCTAAGCTTTTTCCTTATTTGTGTTTATTTTTAGTACATGAGATGGATAGATATATTACGAAGTTTAAAATGATTTAATTTCTATCGTAGAAAATGGTATAAAATGTTATTAAGATGTAATATTGTTATTTTTTTTATGGGTGGGTCAGATTTTGAGGATGTACATGTTGAGTTAATTCTATGTATTAGATAGCATTGGTTTAAATATGTTAATAAAATAATAATTTAATGATATCGATAATTTTTTAATGAAATGAAAGGACTTAATTGAGAAATTTTAATACGATTATGTGTAAAATTGAGAATTGAATTTTAAAAGAGTAATGATTAAGTTGAGAATTGTGTAAAATTTAAAATTTTAAATGATTAATGATTAAGTTGAGAATTATCTAAAAACTTAGGGACCGTTTTTCATTGCTATTTTCCCCTTCTTTTATATGTGTTTAGTTGCTTTCGATGAAATTTAACTCAAAATTTTAATTTTATCACGTTACAAATAATTCATCGTTTGAATTTTCTGTAAAATATAATATTTACAAATGTTCTCTAAAATATAATATTACAAGCGTGGGGTGAGAAAATAATTCAAAATTTTTTTATTTATTAAATTATATATATACTTGGACTGACACATTTTCACGGTTGAACTAGGTTTTGATTGACGTTAGTAGTTGAATTTTTTTTATAAATCCAACCACAATAATTGGGAGTAGAAAAAGATGGCTTAAATCCAGACCTAAACCTAACAAAACTAAACTCTTAAGTTCTTAACTCAATGAAAGAATTAAACCCACCCACATATGGAATTTAGACAAACGAATTACCCATACCTAATTATTACAATACAATATTCAGGTTTCATTTGAATAAGTAAGAGTAGAAGCAACTTCCAATATGAAATCTTTTTGCTTCCATGACAGGACTCATTGATAAAAGGACAAGTAGTCAACTAATTAAGATATAGATACAAAAATGACTTGGTTCTACTTTGCCAGACTAATTTACACACACAATAATATATTAAAATTCATTTAATTTTTCCCACCTAACGTTTAAGGATTGAAAAAAGAACAAGAAAAAGAAATTCTGGAAAGTGAAAAGTAGCTCATAGTTAAATTCAAGGCCCAAGGCTACCAACTTAGCAACTAGAATCTCTACCCCTTTGTGATAATGCTCCAAGGAAGTACATTTAGGAGGAACGAAGTTAAAGCAACTGCAAACTCAAGGACAAGAACTTCAACATCTGATATGATTGCACAGAATTTTGTAAAGAAACTTACAAAATAATCAAATGAGCTTAGAGAAAAACTTGTGATCAGGTGCATATATCGCTTGTTGGTGCTGACAACATGAGGATATCATGGATAACCGAGGACTCTGCACCGGCTGTGGTGGAATATGGCACATCCCCACAAGTTTATAGCAATGTTGTAAATGGAACTACTTCATCATACAGATATTCCTTTTATAAGTCTGGTCATATTCATGAAGTAACCGTGGGTCCTCTCAACCCCGATGCGACTTATTACTATCGTTGCAGTGCCAATTCTGCCCGGAATTTCAGTTTCAAAACCCCTCCTGCTCACCTCCCCATCAAGTTTGCTGTCATTGGTATGTGACTATTTATTTGAACAAATTAACCTATGGATTCATAAATTTTGTAATTGGTTCAGCTGCTTTTGTTACGCGTCGATAATGTTGGAGGCAACGAAAGAAAGTAGGCTAGAACTTAGAATGGAGAGAGAGTAGAAATTAAAATATCTCAATGATGAAATTGATTCTTTTCTAGAAATTTATCCTTATATGTGCATAACAATTCTTATGATCCTGTTTTATAGGTGATCTTGGGCAGACAGAATGGACCAAAACAACTCTACAAAATGTAGCCAAATCAAACTACGATGTGCTGCTACTTCCTGGAGATCTGTCGTATGCCGATTTCATTCAGCCTCTATGGGACTYGTTCGGTAGGCTCGTTGAGCCGCTGGCTAGCCAAAGGCCATGGATGGTGACTCAGGGCAACCATGAAGTAGAGCACATCCCATTGATTCATTCTCAGTCCTTTACGGCATACAATGCAAGATGGCACATGCCTTTCGAACAAAGCTCGTCGACTTCCAACCTTTACTACTCATTTGACACGGCCGGTGTGCACGTTATCATGTTGGGATCTTATACCGATTTTGACTCAAATTCGGCACAGTATGAATGGCTTGTTGTGGACTTGAAGAAGATCGATCGAGCCAAAACTCCATGGATCGTGGTGCTTATTCATGCTCCATGGTACAACTCCAACACTGCTCACCAGGGAGAGAAGGAGTCTGTTGACATGAAGGCAGCCATGGAAGAACTGCTTTATCAAGCTCGTGTAGACGTGGTCTTTTCCGGGCATGTCCACGCCTACGAGCGCTTCGTAAGTTTTCTTTAATCAAATTAATTTTTAAATGCAATGTTAAAAACTTGATCTTTGCTCAGCTGAGTCCTTTTGATTATTTGTTGCAGACTCGTGTTTATAATGGAGAAGCAAATAATTGTGCTCCAGTATATATAACAATTGGGGACGGAGGCAACCGTGAAGGTCTTGCGAGCAAGTAATATACTTTTAACATTGTTTTCTAATGACATTACATAAATTTGAACATAGAATTTTTTACTTTAGACTACTACTAAATTCAAAAGCTTAAGCAATATACTTTTAACATTGTTTTCTAATGACATTACATAAATTTGAACATAGAATTTTTTACTTTAGACTACTACTAAATTCAACAAATTTAATCTTTTATTTCTACTTCAACAATTCTGCAGGTATATCGATCCAAAGCCAGAGATTTCATTATTCAGAGAAGCTAGCTTCGGACATGGCCAATTTGAGGTTGTGAATGTGACACATGCGCTCTGGACATGGCACAGGAACACCGACACCGACAGCGATGTAGCTGTCGTTGGCGACTCCTTATGGTTTACGAGCCTCTCTTCTGAACCTGCCTGCAGAATATAAATTATAGATTGTCATTATAGATCTTGCTAATTAACAGCCAATTAATATTGGAAGGAAAAAGAAGAAACTCTCACACAGTCTAGCTTTACACATGCATGGAAGTGCAAGAAATCATCTCTTTTTGGAGGAGTTCCCTAGTAACATTCTCATGAGAGATGACTCCATTTTATCCACACATCATTCATAATATTTGGGTGTAGTTTAGATCGATTGAAACTTCAATTTTTGTAATGATTTTTAATCTATAGGATTAATACATTCAAACAACTAATTTTATATCTTGAAACTAACATAAGAAAATTTGGTATATATTTAATATTTCTTAACACAAGTTTAAGAGAAGAATGAAAAACCACCACCAGCAAAGTACAACATCGAACAAGCAACATGCCTTGATTGAGCATCTCTCGAAAAGCCTAACAAAAAGTCCATATTTGGTCACAGATAAGAGCCTCATCTGACCAATTTAACCGTTAGGATTATGAAGTACATACAAAATATGTCTAAAATTATTGGAGCCCTGTTGAAACTTGAGGCCTAATTGAAGTCAAAGGCCAATACAAGTACTTCTTGGTGTGCACAAGCAATAGGAAACAAGATGTATGTATGACGTACAAAGACCTAGGGGTTCTCCTATTCATTGAATTATTGGTAGCTTTGATTTAAAGAATGCTTTATATGATTCCCTATCGGAGCCTAACACCTATTTTGAGACTTTATCATCTCTTGTGAGAATTTTGGACACCACCAGACAATGTCCAGTCCAATTGGTAGATAAGTCTATTAAGAGAATCTAAGAAATATAACTGAAGATGAGTTCGGATCAAAGTAGATTGAGTTTCTTTTCCTATAGTGTAGTCTAGACATGGAATTAGGAAGATATGAAATATGCCTATCATCTTAGGGAAATTATCTTTTGGGCTATGGGAGGGCTCTCTTATGGAAAAAAAAGTAACCTATATAGAAGTTAGGGTATGAGAAAGATGCACAACCTAAGGCAACTTTGCTATGATGTGAATATGCTTGAATCACCAAATCCCAAATTATAATGAAAAATTGGCGAGTCCTCTTGATCCCAGAGTTTATTGCTTTATCAGAAGCAATAAAAGAAGCCTTATGGCTAAAAGGGCTATTTAAGGACTTTGGATATGACTAACAAGAAGTAAAAATATATTGTGACAAGCAAAACAAAAATATATATCTCTAAAAATCAACAATTGAACCCAACATATTGACCAAATAGAATAAGGGTTCATTGAGGTGGATTAAACACGCACCCTGCTGATATGCTGACAAAACCTCTAGTTTTAGGAAAATTTAATTACTGCTTGAAGCTAGTTAGTAATATCTACTCAACTGAACAAAAATAAAAGAATTCAAGGGCAGGATATTCACTTACAGAAAGTGTTTTAAATATGGAGATTGTTGGGTTTGCAAAGCATGTAAACAAAGTCCCCATTGATTAGAGAATGGAACAAATTCATGATATACAAGAGAAGACAATTATTGAGACATTTTAAGTGAAACCAAAAGCAAAACTGTGAAGTTATGCCCATACTTAGATACGAGGGATACTGTTGCTCTTAAAAATTATGTTCTCCGACCATATACAAAAAATCACATAACAAACTACATAATTGCTTTAAAATTGTAACCAAATTTAGAATTGGAATTTGAGATGGATTCTCGTGACCTTCAAATTAAAGTCGAATTAGTGGCACAAATTCTATCAATTTCAGCAAATATAGAGCGTGACCCAACTCCTAATGGACGACGTCAACTCATTTGACCAATGCTCTTTCATTGGTATCAAAATTCAATGCCAACAACCAAATGAAATATCCATTCAATATACGGTACATATTCATAGGATATTTTCATAAATCAAAAGATTTGATATTTATTTTATATGACTCAACTAACATTTCATATAAAATGTTAATGAGATATAAAAGATGTCAATTATATAATATCAATTAAATATAAATATTAATAATAAAATTTTGGTCTTTTACCTCTCATTTTGGTTACGAAGAACTTTGGTCTAAGATTTTAAATTATGTTATCTTTTACCCTCTTGACTTTCAAATATTTTGTTTTAGTTTCTAAACTTTACCTAAAAATTGATTTTAATCAACACCACTAAATTTTCACTAAACAGAACTACGAATACATTTTTAAATTGACAAACTTGACCTATCACTTGTAATTATTTTGATATTTCTAATATTTGTCCATCATAAACAAATAGGAGGTGTTTGGAGTACGACATCTTACAAGTTTAGAAAACTAACAAATAGGAGGATGCAAACCCACCTGAATCTAAACCCTCACTCCTCTCTAATGATGGAATAAATTAACAAAAAAGTCATGCTAGAGTGAACAACGGTAATTGACATTTATCTCCCACCAAAAAATAGTGAGTTCGATCCCCCACCCCATATATTGTACTAAAAAAAAATAAAAAAAAATAACAAAAGTTATGTCTATACTTACTATATTTCTACTAAATCATATATTTTTAAAAAATTGACCAAATAATAATAATAATAAATTAATTTGAGCTAAATATATGTTTTAGTCTTGAATGTTGGGGTATTTTTTCAATTTAGTCCTTATAGTTTAAAATCTTTTAATTGAGACCCTTATATATTTTAATCTTTTTCAATTATACCCTCCTATTATTAAATATTAAAATTGACTGATAATAAATTAATTATATAACACCCTACTTAGTGAGACAGCAAAAAAAAATTGTGAATTAAAGAATTAATTTGACCAACCTAAAAGAAGAAAAACTTGAAAATTTTACCAATTTTTTATAATTTGGAGAATAAATTAGATGACTTAATTCTTCATTATCTAAATTTCTATTAACTCGCTTTTTATCTTGTCGCTTATAATCAATTAATTTTAATACTCTCAAGTGGGCAAATTAAAGTATAGTGGAAAAATATTACAAAAACATTAAGAGACTAAATTAAAATTTTCTAGACAAAGGGCTAACAGAACTTGAAAAAAAAAAACCTGACTAAAATGTATATTTAGCCATAAACTTTTGTCCAAATTAAAGATTAAAATAAAATGCCAAAACAAAACCATTAAAGGAACAGAGAAGAGGGTGAATAATAATAATGCACTGGTAAAGTATATCCCAGATTATGGGATGGGTTAAAGGCCCGGTTACTAATATTTCCATTACTTATTAAAAATCCTAGCCATTTTGTAACTAAATATTTTTCTTACTTTCCATGTTTTTGAAAATATTCCAAAACTTATATAGAAATTTTGGATACAATCAAAATATTTCTTGTTTTCGTTTCAATTCGTTACAAAAACATAAATATAAATATTGTTTGATCACCATGGAATTCATCTATCTTGATTTCATGCTAAAAGGACCCGTCGAAAATCCAACATGTATTTATGATAAATGAATATGCAATTAGAGGTGTAATATTTGTGGTTGGAAATGGAAACAGTAAGAAAGAAGTTGTCGATGAGAAAGTTGAATGTGAGTGACAGTCGAGACGATAAGAGATTGTGAAATGATGGGATAGGCATCATCACCATTCACCATCAGCATCCCTTTATTTCTCTGCCTTTGCCATTTCAGCTCATTTTTTTTGCTTTTACATACAAAAATCAAAAGCAAAACCAACAACACTGCGGCGCGTGACAGAGATCGATGGTGCTGCTTCTGCTTCATCAGATCAGGAATAATATTAAGGCACACCTCTCGCATCACACGTCCCACCAACTCCTACTTCTAAACCCCACACTTTTCTTTTTTGACCTTTTTTACATTCTCTTTTTTGTATTTCCCAAATTTGTATCTTCTTTTACATGGAAACTTTACCATAATTCACTCTGCTAACTCCCTCCTCTAACATCTATTTTTCAATTCAAACTAATTATGGTAATTGTTCCATCTTTCTTGGGTCTAATTCTCTAGTACGTTTGTTTCCGTTCAAGAGAACCCATCTTTCAAACTAATTTACGGTTGTGTACTTGGGATGCAGAGAGCATAAATTAGCTTGAGAGTATGCAACATGTCGAATTAAGGAAAGATGCTCCAAATTAAAGTTGTCTCATTGTCTTGACGATATCTCATCTTTGATGCTTCAAATTCTCTAATATATATGTAGACGATTTTGAGAATTTTGATTTGAGAGTTTAGAGAAAAGAGAAAATAAAGAGGAGGAGGTAAAGTCTTGTGACCCTGACATTTAGTCTTTTTCTGATTTCCATTGTTATTAGCGAAATCTAAGTGCAATTATATAAGACCGGACATAGTTTTAAGTTTGAGGCTAACCAATAATAGATACCATGTCACTATATTTTCCTGACTTCTTTTATTTTCCAATCTTTACTTTAATTTTCATTACTTATATTATTGTTTAATAATTGTACTATATATGGAAGGGGAATTTATATGTTCTAGTTAGGAACACTCAAAATTTCCCAACACATGATAAAGCCTGGCGCCAAGCTAGGAGGATCTAGGTAGACCTGAACTTTGAAATTCAAATTAGGTACCTAACAGTTTGGCATTCTCCTGCATCTCTACAACTTAGGCGTTTGCAATATGCTCATAGTTTTAGAGTTTATATGAACAAACCACCAAAAAAAAAAAGGAAAAAAAAAACTGCACATTGTTGACCAACAGTGCAATATAATTGAATTTAGGCTCAGGATTCAAAATTCAAATTCTCTTGTATCCCGTGCTATTTGGCAACACTATCTACCTGACTTATCTACTTAGAAAAGGGAAGACTGTCCCTAACAGATCAACATGAGTCATTTTTAACTTATTTTTATGCACACTCACATGTTTAAAAGAAGGTGCACATTATTGTTAAGCCTTTCTTAACCATAATTGTTTGACTTGAACTACTTAGAAGAGTGAAGGTCATCCTACAAACTCGCATGAATAGTTTGAGCAAGCTTTTTCTTTACTCACATGTTTCCTTAGAAAAATTCTCTAAGAGGTCACTTTTAACCCTAGATTGCTCCAAACTAGACACACTTAACTTTGTGGTTTAGCGGGAGGTGTATTTTATCTTTATTTTATTTTTTTTTTTGAGTACATTGGCGTGGTGGGATTTGGATTTTTTTCCATTCTTTGGAGCACGCTCTTTCCCAAAAAAAAAAAATGCAAATTATTTATATGGTGCATCCTTCATCAGGGTCTTAACACGAGCGAAAAACTTCAACTTAGGTACAAGCTGTCTCTAGTTATTAATCCAAGCTGGTTTTTCTATGCAAGTGGCGTTTTCTGTGCAAGTGCTCTGCAGAATCATTGGATCATATGTTTTTGCATTGTCCCTGCACGACAAATTTATGGAACTTTTTGGCATTTTCAGCACCTCTCTCCCACTCCCTAAACACATTGACGTTTTGATATCAGAAGTCCTATCCTTCCCTATGAAAAGTAGAATTATTTGGAGCAATGCCATCGAGAGCTATTCTTTAGAGTGTTTGGTTGGAGCGAAACAACTGCATTTTCTCAG